GTAGACATGTTTGTTGCTCCCCTTTGCAAAAATTTTTTTCACATAAGAGGTATTATACAGGCCACAGACAAAATATCATAATTCAATAATCATGTTTTCATTTATTTTGGATTTTTTTCAGAGAATTGAAAAAAAAAAATGAAAACCCAAACCACAACGGTTTTGATTTGGGTTTTGGTTTTTCAGCATCACTGACTGTGAAGCAGCAAAGCAGAGTTGGAATTTGGAAAGCAGGAATCAGGATTAAAATTGAGTTGATCTTGGGAGAGTTCCAAGAGTCGTATAGATGAATGAAAACGAAGAGTCGTTTTATTTTTAATTCTACAAATATTATTTTATAAATTAATCAGAATTTTTTTAGTAATCATTAAGGCCCAATTTTATAAAGAGTAATCAAGGTCTGATCAAACAATCATCACACTGATTCACTAGGGAATTGGTGTGATGATTGCTTGATCAGACCTTGATTGCTCTTTATAAAATTGGTCCTAACAGTGATGGCAACCAAACCAGTATCCAAAACCAAAACCAAAACCAGAAAAAACTGGAAAAACCAAAACAAGACCAAATAGGAGTTTTGGTTTTGATTTTCTAAAACTTGGCTTTTCTATGGACTCACCACCAATAATGGCAATCAAACCAGTAACCAAAACCAAAAAAACAGAAAAAAAAAACAGAAAAAATCGGGGGGGGAGACAGAGAAACCAAAACAAAAACCTTGTGGTTTCAATTAGCAACGACTGATAAATTATATAGCTTCAGCTTTCAACTTTCTAGCAATAATGGGGAGCTGGAGCTGTGACTTGTGAGGCACATGCTTGAATGAGCAATTTTTTTCAGAGCTAAAAGTAGAAGATTGGAGTCGGAGTTTGTTTTTTTCCTGTATGGCATAGAGGCAGGAGCGAGGCATGAGCGCGTATTTTGACCCATTTTTAAGCATCACCGGAGTGTTCTGGCTCCTAACAATATTGGAACTAGGAGCTGGAGTGGAGCTCATTGGTATTGTCTCAGAGCCTAAACCCAGAGTGAGAAGCAACTCCACCTCTATAGAAAGCCTTAGCACTGGGTTCGTAAAGCAATTCGACAACTGCTTGCTACAAGGCAAGGCTGTTTTTATTTTATTTTTATTTATTTGCGTGTAGGCAGCAAATGCTATCTTCACAGCTCTGACGCGGGAAAAAACTTTTTCCTCATTCAGCTTCGAAGACAGTCTAGATACGCGCCTGGTTCATGTGGTTGGATTTTCGAGCATCTTTATTGTTATTTCATCCGCACAAAGATCCTTATTATTGATTAAATGTTAACCGATAAACCTTCTTTAAAATTTCGTAAATTGTCATGCAAGAATTAATAAACAATGGTTTTTCGCAAAAATTTATACAATCTGACCCAGTCTGACCCTCATAAC